TTCTTTAAATATGAACCAGGATGAATTTTCGCCCCTTTTCTGTTTGTGAATTATCCCGATACAGAGATTGACTTGCATGAATTTGTTTGCTGTTAAAATTTTCCAATGGGTGGTTGATGTAATGGATTTCACTCTACATATTGCTCAACAACGCCCTGTCTCACCTATTACTTTGAGCATTTGTTGGACACATTGTGTGATTGGTCACCTAAGTCACATGGTATTGTCGTGGTGGCCATTGCTGCTGGTCCTTTCAGTTTTTTATAAATAAGTTTTTACCCTCCATAGTTAAGGAGAAAAGCTTGCCAATGTGACTCCTGAAGGCTCAGAAACTCGAAGGGCAATAAGAAGAACCCCAGATTAATGACTGATAAAAATCTTGTGATTCTGAAGACACTTTTTTTGGTTCGGAAAGGCTCACGCCTGATCTTTGAACAGTTGTCTTTGGCAGTACTATTCATGAACACATCTTGAAACCTGTATGAACCCTTAATAGTCACAATTTTGATATATTCTATGTACACTTATTCTAATGAATAGAATAGATCACTTCTGAGCCTGTGTATGTATGTGTCGCTTTTTTGCCACTGTGTTTTCTCTTAGGGATAGAACTTTCGTATTTCTTATAAATTATGTCTATAATTGTATCTCTATTCCCATGGTTGAGGGGCATGTTATTTTGGGAGTTCCTGTTCTTAGATCCCTGATGACCTAGAATGGCTGGTGTAAACATCTATATATGCCAGCATGGTAATTGTTCAGACTGCAATGTTCATGACAATATTTGTATGCATGTAACTCTTACTGGAAGCAGAACATTGACCATGAACAAAATATGACTTTTGGATTATAATAAAGGCGATGGTACATGGCCAGCTCTGCAACTGTGTAAATTTGTGTAACTCCGTTGAAGTCATTGGAGCTATATTGATTTACACCAGCTGAGAGTCTGGCCCATAGTATAAAGGCACTGATTAAAATAGCCGTGCAAAGCCAGGGATTATCCAACCAGATAGTTCACACCGCACAAAGCCTATGGCACAGCCAAGCCAAGAACATTGTATGGCTAGAGTAAGTCCCCTGAGAAAAATGTGGCCTTTGCAATTAAGCTGAAAATACACTTTTAAAGGATATAAATATCACGCTGGCTGCCTTGCGTCTTGCTCTAGCCAACTTGACAGTTAAAGAGTTTCATGTGAGAAAACTAAAGTGTAACTCAGAAACCAGATTATTACTGTGTAAAACTTTCCATTTAACCAAGAATCAGATTGCAAGCTTATCACACAGAGTTTTCTCTTCTCCAGGGCCAAAAAAACTCCTACACAAATTTCAGATCACCCAATCAGCATTCCACCAAATTAACTCTTGAATCCATTGACGTTGGACTGGGGGGAGTGAATGATGACCGATGGGGGCAATTAGGAAGTTGCTTCTATTTACAAACAAGGAAGATGGATTTTCGTGGTGCAGGAGCTGCATCGTGGTATTGTATCTTTAGTAAGCATCCTGCCGACTTATTCATAGTGCATACCGAGCTCAAAAAGAAGCCTGAGGTTGCAGCATGAAGATTTTTGACACCATTATGATTCAGAGAATCACATTACCCTTCCAAACGCTTAAAGAACACATCAATAAAACATGAAGAGCCTACATAATTAATGACTTAACACTATCAATCTCTGATCACGTTTTTATTAATACATTCATTGGGACTCTGGGCTGATAGCTAGATGGTTCTTTGGCATTTGATTGGCATGTGTAATCTCTGTAGCCCTGGTACCTTTTGAACTTTTGATTTAAATATTAATTACTGGGGTGGGGGAGAGGAACAAACAAATGTTTCTTCACGTCAGTAAAGCTGTTACTATGCCTCTCCAGCACCCGAGTCACTCTAGGATATAAAATAGGCATAAAATGCACATTCCCTGATGTGAGCACAGGTTCAGCCTCTCAAGTGGCCAATGACTATGACCTACATAGTCCTCTTCCTACTTGAAAAAAGAAAAGGAGTACTTGTGGCACCTTAGAGACTAACCAATTTATTTGAGCATAAGCTTTCGTGAGCTACAGCTCACTTCATCGGATGCTTGAAAGTGTGTGGAAGGTGGGGGGGGGTTGCCTCAAAAATGTGTGGCTCCTGGACAGATTCTCATCCTGCACTGAATCCTAGGGTGGTAGAAAATGCGATACAAATCATGCACTGCAAACCTAGGAGAGCTGGGACAGAACCTTGATCTGCACAAACATAAGCTTCCACTGTTTGATCCGAAAGAGTTCTCCCTTAGATTTTTGTATGTAATATTAGCTATCTTAAAAGAACATATTAAGATTGTAAACTCAGCCACTCAAAAGTTCAGAAATGCCAGAATTAAGATTGTCCATGCAACCTTTGTCGGGATCCTTGTGTGTATGTAATATAATGCAGTCTTAATTACATGATCACCTACTATTTGTTCCCCACAGGTCCCCTCCCCTGCTTCATTCAGTACACAGGATGGGCAATGTTGACTTAACGAGCTACTCAATATTTTGTTTTCTCTTCATTGTTCAGTGTGTGATCTGATGCCTTGTTTACCACATGCTATTCAAACACTGCTTTGAAGACAGCAATATTAATTTCCTCATAGGCTTCTCTATGGTGGTCATCACTATAGGACCTACGGGCTTCACAAACATTAATGTTCACAATACCCCTGTGACAAGAAGGAGTGGTATTATTCCCATTTTACATATGGGGAACTGAGGCACAGAGAGATTAAGATAAAAAGTTTCCACTAATGTTGGATGCCCAAGTTGAGCGATCTAGGACTTGAATTTTCATAATACTTAAAGTGCTACATAATGTTTTATGTTCAAAGCATAGCTCCTACTGACTTCAGTTGCAGCTGTGAGTGCTCAGCACATCTGCAGGTTAGATCCCAGAATATCAAGCTGGGAACCCATAAAATGAGGAGAACACAAATTAGCGGCCACCTGTGAAAAGTTTGGTGTAAGTGGCTTGCCCAGCATCATATAGAACTCTGTGGCAGAGGCAGGGATAGAATCCAGTTCTCCAGGGCAGCATTCAATTTCCTTAACCATGAGAGTGAACCCTGCCTCATTCACTACACACCTTCCAACTTCTGCAACAAATGAGGCAGGGTCCTAGAGACAATGGCCTCTTTTATTACACAGCCTAGCCAGTCCAAGTCTCCTTGCCCAGCTTGTCCCAGTTCCAGGTTCTCTTCCCTTATCTAATCCTAGTCTCATCAGACTCCTTGTCCCTATCTACTCCTTCCCCCCCCCCCCCCCGACCCCATCATCCAACTTTTGTCTCCTCTCTGCATTCAAATCAGATGGCTTCCTCCTCCACGCTGCCTGGGTGCCAGTAGGGGAGGAGAGCAGGATGTCTTGAGAGCACAGGAGAGACAGGATCACTCCTCTCAGTTCCATTGCCCAGCCCCACCCTACCCTGGAGCAGCCTTTACAGCAAAGGTGGGCAAACTACGGCACGCGGGCCACATCCGGTCTGTGGGCTAAATTTGGATGGATTTTCACAGGGATGGTAAAAGGCACCTCCCTGAGACAAAGGCCACCTTTGCCCCACAAATTTCAAGTACTTCCAATGCATGGAGGCACTCGACCTGCTCAAAGGAAAGGTCACCAGAACTTTTTTTAAAGAGGGACAGAACAATGTATATTTCCCTAGTCTCATTCTTGGAAATGGCTGAACTCTTTTGGATGAACTTTAAAAAAACAACAACAAAACAGACTGACACCTTTGATGTGAAAATTACATCCCAAATGGTTAAAGTTTGCTAAAGCTATAAACTATTGAAAACAGGAGTATATAATGGGAAGTGTCAGGCAACCTCAGTAATAGGTAGTGCTACCAGCTGAGTCTATAATTCGTAGTAGGTCCTATCATGGGCCACCCCATGGAGAGTAACACCACTGAACCCTACACACAAAGTTCAGTGCATTCGACAGTCACTCTGTGACATGTAGCCTCTGGTGGTGGGAATGAGGTAGCAAGCATGGAGTGTGAAAAAAGAAGAGACCAAGAATATGCAGGATTAGCAGAGGACAACCCTAGGTTTAACAAGCCACCTATACTCCTTACTCTGCTCCTACTATGTCAGCAACATCTGTGAAATTATGCTACCATTGGCTGCCACAGAAACTTCTATGGCTACACAAGCTGTCCTGTTGGGTTGTGTGTGGCACAGAGGGTCTGTTACTCTTTCTCAAAGCCACCGTAGCTTACATACCTTTTCTGGAAAGCTGAACACTGGTTTCTATGTGGAGCAACACCTTCCCTAACTTCTCCCCAGTTCTGGCCTAGCGTAGTCCCAACCTTAAGTCTAGAAACAACAGACACAATCATAAGAACCAGATTTTCAAAATGAGACACAATGCACCTGTTTGCATGCATTTGCACATAACTAATAATTGCTGCAGGAAGTACAGCAGCTGCTTTTTGATTCCTGATCTTGGTGCCCCAATGTAATTAATAATGTCAGCAGGAACGTACTCACCTATTTTTGGTCTTTTGTTGGTTTTCTTCAGCCTCTCATTCTGCCGTGGTGTAGAAAAGGTGAATCTCCTGATTCTGAATTAGCAACTGATTGGATGATATCATGGGCCAGATCTTCAGCTGATGTAAATTGGCATTGCTCCACTGACTTTGCTAGTGCTATGCCAATTTTCGCCAGCTGAAGGTTCAGGCCCTGTATTCTGTGGTATGCAGAACATTTTAATGATATTTTTCCTATTTCCCAACTTACTCTTTTGCAGAGTGTAACAATGAGGCAATATTGTATGTTTCAATGGGATGTGGAATACTACTTCATTTTATATCACAACAGTTCATTGTGCCACAAAAATGTCAGGTTGGCCACGGGGTTCTGGGTTTTAAGAACACCGCAGATTGCTTAGGATTTGTAATATGCCAACTGAGAACATTTTATTTTATTTTATTTTCCATCTTCTTGGCTTGCCCTGCTCCATGCGTCAAGGCAGATGTAAAAATCACTCTTTTCCAAGCAGCCACGGCCCTTCCCCTGCATGAGATTATCCAGTCTTCCAAAGGTTCTCCAATTCCACCATGGATCGTTGAGAGAAACAGGCGTCAGAGAGCTGACTGCTCTGATAGAGGGACCATCTCTGGAACAAACTGAAGCATTCAGGCCTGAGAACTGCACCTCCCCTGGAAAAGAGAGAAGGAGCTGCTGGACTACCCCTACTTAGGGGAAGAATCTGAACAGTGATTTTGAGTTGGTTGGTTTAATTAGCGAATTCAAGTAAAGAAGGGGATATTTCTGCTGAGTCAGAGGCATGTGCATCTTTTTGTGTCCTGCAGCAGTTGATACAAATGCTCCCTTAACTCATTTGGAAATGGCTTCAGTGCTGGTGTAGACTGGACAAAACCATTTCTAGTGTATTTAAGAAAGTGTAATGGAGAACTGCTTCCACCATTTAAAAATTTAAAAATGGGCCCCTGTGCATTAACCACTTGGATACTGTTCAGTGTAATTCCATGCAATTGTTTGTATATCCAATATAGCATCAGTTGTATAAAAGAAAACACAAAGATCATAACTTTGCCTAAAGTTAGACTTTTAAATTCATATTTAGGCCTAAATGAAAGAGTGGCTAATTTTCACAAGTGCAGAGAATCCCAAAATCCCACTGAGGTCAATGGGACCCGTAGTTACACCATTTTGAAAAGGAGTCATTTTTATTTAGTTGTCTTTCTTGACACATCCAGGTAAAATCCATTGTGGTGTACTTAGTGCATAGTTCTGGACCTACACCAGAAACTTCCTTCATACACTGGATGCACTCCAGACAAACGGGAGAGTGATATCCCAGTGTCCTCCAGCCTGAACCTGGGAGAATGTCAGAGTCCCATAGGGATGTTAGAATTGATCATCAGAATTAACTGTGCATGCATTTAATCTGTCTGGTTCAGCTATTTGAGTTTTTGGTCCATTCATTTCATTGAGGACTACAAAGTAAAACACTGTCACAATGTATACAGAGAGTGATCCTGTGTGTATTTGATTAAGATGAACTCTAACACTGTGTACTGAGTCTGTGCCATTGATTTTTTGTATGGAATTAATTAATAGAGAATGTATTTCTTTCCAGTGGATTTGTCACTAGAGACCATTGTTATGGAATAGAAGTTATTTTAATAGGGGAGAGGACATAGGGGAGGTGAATTGTTTTTTACAGCTGCTAAAGCAATCATTGTAGCTACACTTATTTAAACACATTATGTTACTGAGAATAAAATAAATCACTTTTTTGAGTGATCACTATTACAAAGAAGCATTTGGGGTCAGAATTTTCAAATGGGATTACAGGAGCTAGCTGCCACTCCCATTAGATTTCAATGCCACTGAGGTCCTGATGCCCTCAGGTTGCTTTGAAACTCTCGGCCTGGATGTCCATAGAGTTTAATACCCTTCCCTGGCCATAACTGTAGCACGGTGTAATAAAAGAAGCGTGTAAAGAGAAAGTTTGCTCATTAAAAAAACCCAGTGAAATTCTGAAGCAACAGGAGTACTCTGTATCAAAGAATCCCAAGGCACGCATTTGGATTTCCTCAGCAACCTGGCTAGCCTTTATTAAACAAACAGCAAAGCCCACAGAGTGGCAAAAGAGTCTTACCAGCATAGGTTGTTGACACCACGCTTGTCAAAGCTGCTCAGCTGTGTCTCCAGACTAGCTTAGAACATTAGTCACAACAGTGTACCACGTTGCGCATGTTCCCAGCCACTCCAAGGCAATAGGAATGTGGAAGGCACATTGATATCAATGAGAGTTAGGAGCCTAAATACAGTCGAGGACCTAATCCTTGGTGTCCTAAATAACTTATGCCACGAAGGGTCTGACCCAGTGGTTACTGAAGTCAGTGGGAAGAGATCCGTGGGCTTTGACTTGGGCCTTCTAAGCAGAGATTAGTTAGTTAGTGACCTAAAATATAACATTGTCCAAACCATATCTAACAATTATAATTGTTGTTAAAGGTTAAAGATGAGTGATAAGTAGGGTGACCAGATAGCAACTGTGAAAAAACGGGACAGTGAGTGGGGGGATAATAGGCGCCTACATAAGAAAGGACTGTCCCTTTAAAAACAGGACATCTGGTCACCCTAGTGATAAGTAAGGCTGTGATTATGTCTCGGAGGTCACGGAATCCATGACTTCCAGAGACCTCTGTGACATTTAAGTATTACCTTAAAGCATGGGATACAGACATTATAATTAGGATAAATATATGCAGCGATTTACAAGCATTTCATGAAGCCCAAACACTAATAACATTGTTATAAATCCAGCACCCACCTTAATCATGCTAACACATAGGTGAACTAGACTGGTTCCCAGAAATGTGTTTGTCATTGCTTGAATGGGGCCTAAGGCCTCAGCAAGAGCTGGTCTGCCAGCGTCACACCAACAATCTCTGATTTCATGAGATTTCTATCCAATTTTGCAGATGGAAGAGGTTCAAAGAGTCCAAATAAACATCTAACCTTCAGTGCCTATCCAAACGCAACTGAAATTCAACCTTCTGAGGTTCACCCATCTCAGATTTGTACATTGCATGGTATTCCACAGCAAAAATTGGTGATGCCTAGAGAAATCCAACAGTTTTGAGGGCCAGATTCATCAGTCAATAGTTTGGCCCTTAACATTCAGAGCCAGAGCTGAATTTCCTCAAAGGGTTTGGGAAACAAGGGTTCATTTTGACCCAGCCACAAAATGTGGATCTAGAAATGAATCTGAACTTCACCAAAATATTGGGGGTTTTCAGCGACAAAATTTTAGTTGAAGCTTCATCGCTAGAGTTGTTTTGCAAGCAGAAGTATTTCAATTGCAACCTCATGCTATATGTAGCAAAAACCCATGGAAAACAATTCATGGACACTATTCAGCAATGACTGGAGAACAGTATTAATGGCAGATGCAATGAGCCCATCTGATCATGAGAGTGATCAGATCTGCAGAACTTCAGGCAAAGTTGGAGAGGAGATCAAGGAGCTCAACAATCAGTCTTGATCACAGCTAGTTTTGATTATTTTTGTATGCTGTTTTCTTCAAGCTGAATCTCTAATTTGACAATTCTGGCATCCCAACAACTTCAGGGTTGGAAAGGGGAAAGACATTCTGCTTCAGGGCTCCACCACATTTATTAATATGCAGCCAAGCTCAACTGAGGATGATATTCAGGGAACTAGAGAGGCCCTGAACACCTGAGATGAGACACTACCAATCTGCCTTCTTTGTATCATTCAGTTATTCAACAGCAGCACAAAGATTCTGTCTGGTAAATTGTGGGGGGGGAGCAAAAGTCTCATTTTGTGGTTACATCTGCACAATTCTCGGACGTATTCCCATGGATTTCCCAGCTATATCACATAGCAGGGACATATCTGTATAGTCTGGAATTTAAAATCAAGTGGATAACAACTACTAGCAATGTTTGCAGCATTTCTGTCTGGATTCTTCCCCCAAATTCTGTAACTTCCAGGGAGTTTATGCAAATTAATTTTCCTCAGAACGCACAATCTGGCCGGTGATAATTAATGATTCTGATCAGAGGCAGTCTGAGTCAGTAAACTGAGCACTGAGCTAAAAGCCAGGAAGCAACTGAAAGGTGCAACTCACCATAAGTGGAAACCCTGGTGTATCATGGAAGACGATATCTGACCAGGGAGCCCAGCTGACAGAGAATGGGAGCACGAGGAATTGAAACTAGAACTGCCATGTGACACAACAGGAATATTTCCAAACAGAAATATTTTGATACAGTTGAAATATTTTGGCTTTCAATTTTTTTCCATAAAAAATTTAGACTTTTTAACAATTGTCATCTAATTTGTCCTCAGTAAAACAGTCCAGTTTGTGGCAGGCTCTAGTTGATATCTGTACAGTGCCCTGGAAATGTAAAGTACTATACAAATGCTAAGTACCATTATTAATTTCTAAGTACGACTCAAAAGGTTTGCAGTTCAAGCCCAGTTTGGATGAATATCCAAAAGTTCAGAATTTTATCCAAGTTACCCAAACCTTACAAGTCTCTAAAATTAGACCAGCAATTTCACAAGAACATGCTTTCTCATGAGATTTCCCACACCTCTGCTCCCAGACAGAAATACCCTCAGAATCAACTATTTAGCAGTATCTCAGCATTTCTGGTTCTGACTGGAACACAGACATTCAAAAAGAACACAAAAATAAGGCAAAACCCCCCACCAGTATCAGATATTTACAGACGTCAGAAAAGGTTCCTTTCAGATTCCCTTCATACAGCGTGTTGTATAGGCCTTTACTGCTGAACATGTGCATCTATAAGACACCATCGCCACAGCATGCTGACAGCTTAAAATAATCAAATGATTATTCCATTCAGTTTGTTTAAGCTCTTCATCAACTGAATGTGGTTTTAATGAACAGAGGCTCTCTGCTGAGCTAGTCTAAATTGCAGATGAAGAACATTGCACTGGGATTGAGAAATGTTTACATTTTTGTCAACCCAGCTTGATTTTCACTCCCCTACATTTTCCGGTTTGCTATTTATTTGCATTTCCCATGCCAGTGTCTCAGCGGTGCCTTAAAATGTACAGCTTATGAAACTGTGGACCTGATTTATAGTCTCAGTTCTATACTACCTGTGAGACAAAGTCTCAAACAGATCAGGTGGTTTCCTTTCCTCCCCTGGCTAAAGTGCAGTTACAGCAGGAATGAGTTCAGCCCTCATTTAAATTTAGTTACTTGTTCCTCTCCCTAGTCCAGCTTTTGAAGAACAAGCCTCATACAATTATTCTATGTCAAGGTACAATTCATAACAATGCTGCACTGTAATGTTCCTATTAATGCTCTAACACTATACAGTATTTCCAGATACACAGAAGAAGTTTGTGAAGCTTCAATATGAGTTCATTGACCATTAACTGTGTTGTGGATTGGTCCCACATGCTCAATCTGCCAGCCTTAACATTCAAAGATGTTTATATTCACATGGCCTACACTTTGCTGTGGTTACACTGAAGCAGAGAGAGTTTTTCCCATGACCTCTTTTGGAATGAAGGGCTTACCATTTCTAAAGCATTGTTACCAAACCAACCTGATAATAGAAGAGAGTTCTAATAGCAATCCACCTTGGCCAAGCAAACAGGAAATCTAGAAATACAAACA